GTTGAGCCATAATTTATTAGTAATTTATCACGTGATTTACTCTACCATTAAAACCTTATTAATTGCACTTACCAGAAGTCGTTTTTTCGTCCGAGATCGCCCATAGATTTTGTTTACTTTACTCCAAAATTGCTAATTTATCAAATATAGCGCTTTGAGCTTTAACAAGTTAACTCTAGAAACTACTAATGTTATAAAAATAGGTTAAATTCGGGTTCACAAAGTGAGGATGCTTTCGCCGTAAAATATACATTTATTAATAAAAATAATAAATTTTAGTTAAGCACTTCGTAATCCTTATTATTAAATTAACAAGATGAATTATCATCTTATTATTTTGTTTATACAGTTTTTTTTAGTAACATTGAAAGGACATGATAATGAAGTCAAAAACATAATGTTAATTGGTAGAACTGGCAATGGCAAATCAACTTTGGCCAACGTCCTTGTTAATAAAAATAATGAATTAGAAGAAGTATTTAAAGAATATCCTGGTGGTAAAAGTGGGACTGCAGATACCAAAAATGAAATTTTTGAAGTAAATTACGGTAGCAAGAAAGTTAAATACCGAATTATTGATACAGTTGGACTTGGTGATACTAAAGTAACAACAAAAGAAGTGCTCAAAAAGATAGCTAAAACCATTCCTTTCATTGAAGAGGGGTTACACAGAATTTTTTTTGTAATAAACGGTCGTTTTACAAAAGAAGAAATACAAGCTTATCATTTGCTCAAAGAGACCATTTTCGATAATGAAGTTGTTGGTTATACTACTATTATTAACCCTCGTTTTCCAGATTTTCAAAATGTGACAGCATGCGAAGAGGACTGCTTTAACATAGAAAATGAAACCACTGAATTAGCTGATATAATCAAATCTACTAAGATTATTCATGTAGACACCCCTCCTTTAAAAGGCAGCTCAAATATGGTTGAATCTCATAAGGAAGCTCGTGAATCCTCCCGCCAAAAATTGATAGCACACTTAAATAATTGTCAAGGTATTTATCATCCGAGTAATTTAGACACTTTCGAGGAGCGGGTGTGGGACTATTTAACTGAGGAGGAAAAGATGAAAAGAGAATTAGAGAAGGAAAGAAAACGGAGTGAAGAGGCAGAAAGACGGAGGGAAGAGGCAGATAGACAGAGGAAAGAGGAAGAAAGACGGAGGGAAGAGGCAGATAGACGGAGGGAAGAGGCAGATAGACGGAGGGAAGAGGCAGATAGACAGAGGGAAAAGGCAGATAGACAGAGAGAAGAGGAAGAAAGACGGAGGGAAGAGGCAGATAGAAAATTGGATTGGGAAAGAAGACTAAATGATGAATTAAAGAAGAAAAGAGAATCTGAACAAAGTTCAATCGGTGAAGTTATATTGTCTATATTAGGGGCTGTTGCTGGGGGATTAGTTGCAGGGCCTTTTGGTGCGGTTGCAGGAGCAGGTGCTGGTGCTGGCTTGGGACAGCAGTTATAACCAAACAAATTGTCATTATTATTGTATTATTATTTTCTTTGCTCTATTTTTTCAAAATACAAGCGAAAAGAAATTATAAAATGATTTTATTTTAGGCGTTACTTTTCTTTGATAATTATCCTTTTGTTTATAATTATTGGATTTGTTAAAACATGTGAAATGAATGAATGTTATCATTTATAATAACTAATTTATTTTTGAAAGTTATTTCCGTTAGCTATCAGCTATCGCTATTACTGCTACTACGCATTAGAAAATTCTTTTAATCATGCACACCATTAACTAACGTTAAGTATGGATGAAAAATCTACGTTCAGTTTTTATAATGAAAAGTCTTGTTAATACTAAAAAATAGCAAAATCTTCATGTTACACGTTGTTTTTTCGGTTTTATTATTTATTATTGCTTTAACTAGAGTAACGAGTAACAGGCAGTAAATAATCACCACCTTTTAATATACAGGAAAAAACAGAATTTTTATTATTAATCGAAATTTATACACTTCGTAAACTGAATTTCAGTATCGAAAGATGAATTATTCATTAATCTTTTTAATTTTGAAATATATATCTATATACACAAATTAGTAGTGAATAAATGGTTAATTCGTGTATATATATTATATATATGACTTCTTGAGTAATGATAAAAATGATCACTCTAGCAGGAGAAAATGAATAGACAAATTATTAATAATCCATGATTATGTTTATTGAATATATATATTTTGAGATTGTTCTTGGAATACTTATTATCTCTAAATTGACGATATGAATCCTTCGCCATTTCGATGTAGTCATATTCTTTATGGTCAATTACATATTTGTTAAATAGGAATGGTGAACATTATATTTCGTCAAATACGTGAGGTGTTTGAAAAGTTTTGTCACTGACCCTGTAATGCGACTATCTTATGTTAATATGCAGCTTTATACATTTATTTTTTTAAAATGAAAATAATCGTTTTTCTCTTCTAAATAAATGAAAAAAATCATTGAATTTGGTTCATTCATTGTAAAGTTATTGGTATTTAACGAAATATGTTATCATACAAGACAGAAATTGTAACTGAATTTTGAAGGAAAATAAAGTAACTATACCATCTCATATCTAACCCCATGTGACTTTTCACATTTCCAAAAAAGAATTAGATAAAATTTGATAAAGTAGAAAATTTTGTACATTGTTATTCAGTAGAGATTCTGGCCAAAAATAAAGTTGATTTCTGATTATTCATAATTACTATCACTCGATATTTGAATATACTTTTGGCTATTCGAAATAATTAAATAATTATGACTATTCGAAATTCGAAATATTATGACCGTCAAAATATTTATGACTATTCGAAATATCGAATTATGACTATCGAAATAATAATAATAATTATTATTATTATTATGACTATTTGAAATATCTATGACTATTCGAAATAATTGTGACTGACTATCGAAATATTTATGACTATTCGAAATATTTATGACTATCGAAATTCCGCCTATTACCAAAAGTCATTTGATGTATTTCGAATATTCATATTCAAAAAGGGGTATTAATGAACAGAAACACTAGTTGCTGATAATATTCCAAAAGGTGATTATTGTAAATCTTTTTGCGAGTAGCAAAGGAGGCTAAAACGATGTATAGATATTAATGAGAACTATTTTGAAGGAATGGAATAATTTATTTAGGAATTACATGTATATAGACTGAAATACGAGTTCAGTAACAAAACTTTTCAAATTCTAATTCTAATTCAAATTCAAATTCAAATTCTCATCTAGTTTTAATAAATAACTTCATTAATACTGGATCTGACTTCCTATTATCTAGGTAATATCCGGATCAGTCAACAATATCTATGATGCAGTTAAAATTGTTAAATTGAGACTGAATAAACTTCATAGACTTTGTTTGGCATATCTGTTTTTTCTGAAATGTTAAATTTAAATATGTATGTATATATATATATTAATTATTTTCAAGAGGAATGGCCTCATATATAGTTAATTCGGAATTTATTTTGTGAATTATTATTATTATATTTACTTTATTCTAATAAAATTATATGAGCAGGATATTGACATTATTAAAAAAAAAAATAGTTGAGATCCAATTAATAATTAGTTAAGCTCTAATTAACAATTATTTATAACCATTTAATAATTATTTATAACCAACTATAAATTATATTAATTGTAAAATTAAAATCACAAATGATTGTTCCTTGCTTTGGTATAACTAAATTCCCAGATAATGGAAATTACAACATAATAGTTTTAAATTATTTATCAGATGGAAGCTTGAGAAATTATTTATGAAAAATCATTCAAAATTAACATTAAAAGATAGAATTATAATCTTTAGATATTTATGTAATGCATTATATGATATACATGAAAAAGATTTAATCCATTGTGATTTACATAATGAGTAGTAATGTATTGTTGCAAGGAGGTGGTTGTTATATCATAGATTTGGGATTGATTATGTGGGCCAATTGATGAAAAATCATCAAATAAAATCCATGGAATTATATCATATATTGCACCAGAACTATTTAGAGGTAAAACTATACAACAAACACAAAAGGAACTGATGCCTATAGTGTTGGGATGTTAATGTGGGAAATATTTGCAGGCCATCCACAATTTGATAGTAGAGCTCATAATCATTGTTTAATTTTTGATATATGTGAAGATTTATGACCACCAATATTACCTGAAATGCCTGATGATTATTCACAAATGATGCAGTAGTGCTGGATAAAGATCCATTGAAAAGACTAACTTCTGAAGAGCTTTGGGATTTTGCTGTAAGAAAATCAAAGGAAATTGAAAAATTGAATATAATAAAAAGATACAATTTCACGCTTTTTAATTTTTTAATTTTAGAAAATCTGATTTTAATGATTATAACAGAAATAGTAGTGGTAGTGGTAGTGGTTCACAACAAGTACACGAATCACATCCGGATGCATATCATACAAGTAGAATATTAGATGTTGAAATTATTAAATCAGAAAGCTTAAAACGTTATACAAATAATGATAGTTCATTAAATAATCTTGATTTTGATTCTCGTCTCTTAATTAATATATAGGTGAATAAAAATTTCATTACTAACTAATTGGAAGTCACTATCCATTTAAACCCAATGGACCCTGAATACGTCAACTTCTAATTATGTAAATCTTTCGAAATATGTAATAAATTATTACCAACGATATTCTTATTCCCATTCGATTAATTAGGTTCTAGTAATAATAGTAAAGGAATGGTGAGTTTGATAAATTATCAATGAATGATTAATTTAATCCTCACTATAAATAAATTTATTCATTATATTACCTTTTCATCTTTTCATTTTGTTGATTTTATTTCTTAAACTAAATTATGATAAATAATCTTTTGAAATAATAAATTTTTTTTACCATTTTAATTCTTGTTTCAAGGCGGAAAAATGTTTTGATAAATATTCTGAATAGTTTTGATCAGACGTTTTTCTTTTTCTTTTATTATTATTGTTAAAGTCAAATTTGTGGTGTGGTGTGAGAATTTTTTATTAATAGATCCAAAACATTAATGACACCATATACCCCAAGAGCTTTTTCAGAGTGCATACTGATTCTATTCCACTGGTTAAAATTATGCCAGCAGCTCTAATCGCTCGTATATGGTCCCCACTCTTTGAGGTATAACTATTACTTTAATATGGATATCGGCTGCTACTGTTGATAGTTGCAACCACTTTTGTGACTAGCGATCTCATCCTTCCTTCTGGGTGGCAGGCGTTTGAAATTAACTTGCTTCTTGCAAATAACCTTGGTTTGAAGAAAAAGATACACATCACTCTTTTTCAAATTTCCGAAATACATACTAAACGTGTTTGTGTCATGAATTGATGAGCTACATTCACTTTCGTTTAGCAATTTAGGATGACCAACATCCAACGTAGTGGATGTTTAATGAAAATTGACACATTTATTTATTATTTAAAAATTACACACTTCAAAACTCTATCTCCCGAAAGAAAGTACCAGGTGAAACTGGCTTCTCAATTATTAAATTACGCCACACCGATTCTTCACCCGAAGACAAGGACACAAAGTCATTATAGTTATAATTATCTAATATATTATTATCATTGATATTATCATTGCCATTCGTTATTATTGTTATTATAGTCGTCGTTATTATCATTTGTTATGGTTGTTGCTATTGCATATTGCAATTAATGTTGTCACTATTGATGTTAATTCCATTGCTGTTTGTTCAGCAAATCTATGCTTTTAAATATCCTAAATAGCTAGCCAGATGCAATCTCTAATTTAGAAGCTGAGATCTGTTGTTGTTGCTGTTATTCCACTTTTCTTTTCTTTGGATCAACAGATCAAGCATTCCCTGCAAACCTCAATGTGTGGAGCCCAAAGCGAGGGCTTCTTGCATCTGGCTTTTCACCTGAGAGATAATGGTGAACGTTGGTCGTGACATGGTTTCTTGTAACTGATTCACCTTTTCATAGCGAATAAGGTGTTGGCCCCATCCATGTATCCTTTGCTATGTGTGTCTCAACAAACATCTAACAGGGCTCCCAATTGACACGTCTCGTTATTTCATTATTATGTTGTTATAACTATTGTTGTTATAGTTATCATCATTATTATATAAATTTATCGCCATTATTATTTCATTTATTGTTATTATAAATTAAATTATTATTATTATTATTATTATTATTGTTGTTGTTGTTATTCTCACATTTACTTGTGATTCGTTAAGAAAAATTTTGTTGAGATGTTATAACTTTATCACAAAATGTTCGAGTTTAATGTGAGAATTGAATTTGTATTAACTGCTAGTGAAGGGAAATTTATCTCCTTGGAAAAAACTGGAGAGATGAGGATTGTATTGTATCACTTTGTTCACCTGGCCTCTATAAAGTTGATCTGCGATGGTGTTTTCTTTGGTGTTGATATAATTAAGCATGATTGTAAAGGTAGCTTGTTGAGTGAATAACCATTTCACCATCTTGTAAACTAATTCGTTTTTGAATGCACCTTTGCCATAGCCGCGATATTGGCTCGAGAATCGGTGAGTATTATGTATCTATTACGATACCACAAATATGCATTTCCAACACATGTATATTGCAAAGGCTTTTTCATTATATGCCCACCTGAAAAACAGTATAAAAATTATCAAATGTTATTCCACAATAAGGAAACATCAGTGTAAAAGTTTAATAAAGGCGCAGATACGCCCTCGTTCCGTCCGTTTAGAGTAACTTCTAATCAGGCCAACTCCTCCTTTATTGCCGGTGTGGCGATGATTTCTATTGCATTTGCTCTTTCTCTTTCCGCCAGTTAATTTTAATTTATGGATGGCCTGTACAAAGTGTCTTTCTGCCGAATGAACCTGGAAAACCAACCAAGATAGAACGTAGCTGCATCACAGTGCAGTATTTGCAATTCTTCGGTTTGTTTATAATCATCAGCGTCACCGGTCTCTTTTGCGTAGGTATTGAGACTGACAGCTCTCTAGTACTCAACGAAATGCCAAGAAAAATTAATTCATCAACGGGACCGATCAATTCGAATCTTAAAGGAGATTCCAAGAAAAATCAACATTGCTTTAAAAATTTTCAAGAATTTGCTGTTGATGTAGTAGGAGAATGAGGAGAAAATCGTCGACATGGCGAACGACAGCAGGAACGCCCAAATAGTTTGCAATCCAATCTAGTAAACCAGCAAACCTACAAAAGCTCCCGGATGAATCTCTATTGCTGAAAGCAAGCTTCTTGTCAATACAGGCAAACCCTTGTAATGTTTACTCAAAGGATCAACTGGTAGGATACTGCATTGATCTTTAATATCCAATTTGTATAGAAAGTACCCCTGCGGGTCCACTTTGCGACATGTCCAACGTTCTCATAGGATGCGTGGAAAATCTCTTTCTCAATATCATCATTAATGCTGAAGAAAATTGGGCCAAGTGATGATGGATAACTCTGACCTTTCTGACATTATCCCTTTTAGGGACCAAACCGCATGGGTTCATTCTGAATGATTCTAATGGTATGTTGGCAGGGTCATACAGCCCTGCTACACTCTCTAATTCTAATTCCTTCTGGGCAGATGCTTCAAAGACTGCAGGGTTCAACTTTATGGATGGGAGGTTCTATTTTGTTTCCTCTCAGATTTCTAAAGCTATGCCTGAGGCCTTCCTTCAGACCTTGTATAATGTATCAACTTGGGGTGCTGCTTGGTCAGAGTTTCAATTTCTCAAATGTTGATGGGCATGTTTACTTTAAATATCTTTCTTGTCTAGTCAGTCGAGAATCACAATTTTTGTGCTAATGGTAAAATAGTATTGATGGTGCTAACAGTTCTTAGCAGCATCTATATCAGTTATATAAGAGGGGAACTTTATTTTGATGTGTTGTGGTTGTTGTTGTTGTTAGAGTGGTGTTGTTTTCATTATCATTATTTTTCTTGTTATTATCAATATTGTTATCAATATTGTTATCAATCGTTTATTATTATTATCATTGTTATCACTTCCCCTTCCTATTCCAATGCTCTTACTTGAGACATTCTCATTGTAGTTGTTAATTTTTGCTATTGAATTGGTGGAATTAATGGTATGAGGATTTTTGCTGCTTTTGTTGCAATATTTATTAATAATAATATTGATTTTGCCATCACGGTCTTCCTTTGTTGTTCAAGCTGAATTACACCTTCGGCTGAGATCATAGCACACGTTTGAGTGTCCCTCCGTTCCCAAACATGTACTTGTCAAGCTTGACGAGCTTTGATTGAGCAATGTTCTTTGTTGTGGTAGTAGCCTATGAGCGCCACTTATTGTAGCTTTCAATTTGATCCTCGCCGCTAGTGCTGACAGCTCTCTGAATGGATTCGATTTTTGTAGTTGTGACATTACAGTTGGTGCTATTGGCGATATTATTGATAGTTTTGTTGGTGATGTCATTAGCATTGTTTGTGTTATTGTTGTTTTCAGGATTGGTGTTGTCAATCTTGGAGCAGTGCTTGATATTAGGTTGTCTCTTTCCTAGAACTACTACCAAGATCAACTATGCTGTTATTACTATTTATTGGCTGTCTTTCTGACACTATTGTCTCTGCCGTTTTTAATTCAATAATGCCACGTTGTGAAGTAGTTAAAGGTACTACCAACTGTCTCAGCAAATTATACGTAACTTGATTGTTGTTTAGATTGCTTGATTCAGAGGAAATTATATCGTTGCTAGTGATTGAAGCAGGAAGAGGCGTGTTTCTAGTAGTTGAATCAGCAGGAGGTGTGTTAGTGCTAGCTGTGTTTTGAAAAGTGCCAGGGTCTACAACTGCTGCTCTTGTTATCGATCTTGTACCTATAACTTCATTTAGTACATTGGATTTCTTTGGCCCCGTGCTAGAGTAGTTTTCTCCCAATTAATAATCTCTTCTTTATTAATTATTATTATTATCTATTGTAGTAGTAATGATTTAGAGCTAGTTTTTATTTATATTATTATTAAACAGTTGCTTCCATGAATTGAAAATCAAGTAAATGTTGAATGTTTGTTGCTTATATTATTAATATACATAAATATATGTGTGTGTGTGATTGTAGCTTGTTGTTTATATTATTAATATATATTATATATATGCAATATTTATTGTTGTTGTTGTATCGTAGTAGTGTCGTAATATTTTTTATTTTATTTTTTAAAAAATATTAAATGTATTAATTGTTAATGTGTTAAGTATTATTGAAAATTGCCAGCCAGGCTTTCCTGACTGCTTCATATTTTCATATTTTTTTTTTTAAAAAAAATTTTTAAATAATGAGGGAAATTCCCACATGATTTTTTTGTTATCGCAGGAAGATCAAGTATATTTTAATATATTTTTTTTAAACCTTTAAAAGTTAGTACTATTATTGTTTTCAAACCTTATCTTATAATAATTAATATAAATGGAAAGGGATGATTATTACATTCTTTATATTTTTCTACAGAGAAAAAATAAAATTATCAAGTTAAAATGTCATTCTATTATCACCAGAAAGAGGTAAACTTGTATATATACAAAATTTATAATAATAATACTTTAGCCAATTCTGATAATAGAGAGAATGAAAAAGGGTATTATTCAAAAGAAAAAATAAACGGGTATATACTTTTATAGATTTTATGGGAACCAATTACTAAGGCTCCGAACGAATCAAATCGAGTCGCATTTTTAAATTTATTAAACAAATTTTGGGGCGATCATCATATAAAAACTTCTAAATGCGTAAGAATCGTCACGAAACTTAAAAATCATGTGAAAGAAAGAATAAAATAAAACCTAGTTTTTAAAAAGACAAAAAAATTTTCATAATGTGGAAAATCCAAAGAAAAGATATGGAAAGTGAGATGTGATAGTATCATACAATGGAAAAAGGAAACAGGAATTACAATGGAGCAGAAAATGGAAAGGTTTAACAGTAATAATAATAAGAATAACAGTAGAAATAGTAGTAATAATAGATCTATTAATAGAAAAAATAATGAGGATAACAACAACAACACTAATAATAATAATACTAGTACTAGAAGTAGGAACAATAGTAACAGTAGCAATAGAAATAGAAGTGAAATTTTAACAAATTATTATGTAAACATATGTACTGAAAACCTAATTTTATTTAA